AATTATATCATAATATTAATTTTAAATAGAAATAAGTAGATTGTTAATTATAAAAGTAAGTATATATATAAATAAAGATTAATTAATAAAATATAATATAATTATTATTAGTAATATAATTATTATATATTTATAACGATTCTGATACACCGGAATGAGAGGAATCCAAAGATAATATAAGTATGAGATTGTATATAGTTGATAATGACTTAAATGAATTAATTTGTACTACTTATACTGACAACATGTATATGCTTTTCTGTAGCTTTTCTCATCAGAACTCCACAGTTAAGTGTGCTTGACTTGGAGTAATATAGGGATGGGTGACCTTCTGAGAAGTTTCCCAAAAACTGTGTAAGTAAGGACAAAACATGCTAAAAAGTGAAGTATTGTGAAATAAAATCCTTGAGAAGAATAGCAACTGAATTTGAGACGTCTAAAAAATTTAATAAAAGAAAAAATAAATATTTAGCGACTGATTTAGAGGCAGTTGGTGCGACGGGTGCTGTAAGGGTCGCAATTCCAATTTTGTGATGGTTTGTGCAACGGTTTCAGTAACCGTCGCAAAATTCACTCGTGACGGACATTTCTGTGACGGTTGGTGAACCGTCGCAATTGTGTCTTTGCGACAGTTTTAACCGTCGCAATGTAGGTCATATAACTGTCGCAAAATCGTCATTTTCTTGTAGTGAACAAAAGAAAAGAAGAAATGGAGTGAAGATCAAGAAGAAAGTTTAGAAGGTAGATCAAGATATCCACCATATCGACACTAGGAAAAGAAAGGTCATCCCCCATTTAGATGTTGGAAAAGACCTCATGCTAAGTGTAGTGAGTGTAATCAAATTGGGCATGAAGTTGTTATATGTAGAAACAAGAATCAACCACATGGTGAAGAGGAAAAGATTGTTAATCAAAAGGAGGAGGATTACTTGTTTGTCATCACATGTTTCTCTAGCATGAAATTAAATGAAAATTGATTTATTGACAGTGGTTGCACTAACCACGTGACAAACATTAAGAATCTATTCAAGGAACTAAGCAATGCAAGCACATCAAAGGTTCAAGTTGGAAATGACAAGTATATATTGTTGTGAATGGAAAAGAAATAGTAACAATCTCAACTTACTTAGGTAAAAAAGTATGATATTGCCATCTAGGAATGAAACTCTAGTTTAGAGAAAGCAACTATTATGCAGGAGTGCACAAATAAGCAAGTGCAATTAAGGGAAAATGCTTTAAGAAAAGAATTTTCTAAAATTTTAGCTAGAAAATAAAATGAAATAAAGTAGAAAATTGCAAAAGTTGAGCATGGTGAGAAGTATTTAAAAATTCTTAATCTAGAGTTGAAGACTGCTAAATCAAAGATATAGAGTTATGGTACAAAAATATTGTCAATGAGGTTTGAAATTAAAGAGTTGACTAAAAAATTTAAAGTTGAAAGTTCTAATAAGACTCAATCATATGAGAGAGGAGCAATATTTTTTAGCAGGAGAAGAGTCTTTTACAAAAAAGATTGAAGTGCTAATGACTTCACCGAGTCAATCTAAATTAGCATGTTAAATTTTGAAGGATGAAGATAAGAGTTTTCAGCTTCTAAGGCAAAGAGTGTTGGAAATGTGCCTTTAAATGTTGTCAAAGCAATTTTGATTTTTAATTTAATTGTCAAATTAGTTATTTGATAAAAATGTTATTATGTTGTTAGCAGATTAATTTCAAATTTTATTCTTCAATTATTATTAAAAACTCTTAAAATCATGAAGTATGATTTTTATTCAATTATTTTAATGTATTTAAACATAAGTCATATTCCATAAAATAAGGTATGTTTTGCATTGATTTTCTCTATCCTAAGACTAAAATCAACATGGGTATGAAATAAACTATTGAAAAAAGAATATCTATTTTGTATAAGCTCGCAATCTTCAACAGCAATAAATTATTGCTTATTTTGTATCAATATTACAGTTAAAGAAAATCTATATATATATATAGAGAGAGAGAGGAGGGTTCAAACGATATCACTGTAACTTTTACTAAGTGTTACACCGCTCAATAACTTTATATTAAATGTGAATTTTATAAATTTAACCGTTAGATTGAAAGTTCATATCTCTTAATTAGATCATATATGTCAAATTTTGTTAAAATTGAACAACAACTTGAAGGTAATCAAAATATTCATATTTAATATATCTTGAAATGTATATATGTACGAATTAAGTTATCAAAGTTATCGCATTGTATGTAGCAAAATAACGTACAAACTCCAAAGCATAACACAAACATTTCTATAGATATGCATATATAGCAAATAGTTACTTTCTACACACATATACAACTTTTTTTCACACAACTACCGTCTCGCAAAGTAAAAAGAGGGATGAAAAGGTTGGAGTAGCTACAGAAAACATATATATATATATATCCATGAACTTCTAATAATTAAACGATGCACGAGAACAACTTAATTAGAGCTCCTGTCACTAAGCATTAACTAATTAGTTTGAGGATCTGATCCTTTTGAAAGATCTGGGATTCCATAAAATGGCCTAATTATTAAACTTGTGATAAGTTCCTGCCCAAAAAGAAATCACACAAATATTGTTGAAATATTTTATAACAAACTGCAAAAATAAAAAGAAGAAAAGAAATATTGAAAAGAGATAATTTCTACTATTAATAAAGACAGATATATCTTTTTGCTGTATACATTTTGTTAATTGTTTTTACCTCTTAATTTCAAAATATTTTTTCTCTCGTACTTCTTTTTTTATTATTTTTTCTCTATTTTTTCATAAATTTATTTTTCAAAATTTTCACACTCTCCAAGTAATTACTTAAAACCGTTCGCATGCATCTTTCGATTGTTAGCCACTCACACATAATTCAACTTCAATTATTTTTATTATTTATTTTATTTTTGTTTTTTAAGAAAAATATATAAAAATTCGAAGTGTCTTTTTGACACTAATAATAATAATAATAATAATAGATTGATTTTTATTTTCATAAACTGTTTTTTGTTTAAAAAGACAAAGAAAGCAGATATTGTATCTCACCCTAAATTCTAAACAGATTCACACCAAACTTGTATCTAATCACATATATTGTATCACTCACCACTTGCAATGTCACACCAATTGACACACAGCCTTGAGTTAACAACACAAAACAAAAGAAGAAGAAAAAAGAGAAATCTCCCACTTATTATTTGGTCAGTTTGTTTAAAATAAGAAAAAAAGTGATTATAAAAGAAATGTCGTTTAAAAATATAATTTAAAAAGTAGATAGAAATTATTTTAAAAAAAAAATAGATTTTTTTTAAAATGAAATAGAAAGTTTAGACAAATATATAATAAATAATATAAGACTACATATTTATTAAAAAAATATTTTTAAATAAAAATAAATAAACGGTTTCGTTGTGTTTTAATTTGAAATTTTCATTGTTAAGATGCAATTCGTTGTTAATTAAGTAGCATAAAATATTCTAAATTGTTTTTAATTAAATCCAAAAAAAAAGTAAAAAGTAAATAATAATGTACTAAATATTTTCAATTTGAAGAAAGAAAGAAACTTACAAAGCTTCCAGAAGTTGAACACTCCTCCTTAGCTGTTTGTTCTGTACTTGTATGAACTTCTTGGTAGTTTTTCTTGCCCTTGCTTTCATTGCTTTCTAGGGTTGTAGCATCCTCTCCTGAATCTGAAGAAGAAGAAGAAGATTTCACCACTGAGCTTACATGTTTTCTTTTGTTGGCTCCAATCTCTAACCCTAAACATTTGAAGACAGACTTGAGAGTTTCTTCAAGAAAATACCATGGATGGTATAAATAAAATGTGGCATTATTCCTCACAGGAACCTCGTCCTCTTGGTTTGTTGATGTTCCTTCCATTCTTTTTGGCCTTTTTTGTGTTTCAAACTTTCAAAGTTGAGCTTTAAATGTTATTCAATATGTGTTTCAGGTGGGGTGTCATACTCTCATAAATATAGGCTCCACACCATTAAGTTACAACATTTAATATTGTCTTTACTTTTTTTTTTTTCTGATCAATAAATATTGTCTTTACTGAAATATTTTTTTTTATAACTGTTCCAGAACTTATATAAGAAACTTATAACAAAATTAATAGTTATATTAGTTAATTTTATTAATTTAAAAATATTATAATTTATTAATTTTATCTTATTATTTGTAATTAAACTCATAAGAGAAGTAAAAGTATCACTGTTATTTATCACTTTAAAAAGTTAAGAAAGATTATTTTTTTTTTAAAAATGTCCTTATTTATTAGTATCTCAATCAATTAAATGGATTTGTTTAAGAAAGTTGTTTTTATTATAAATTCTTTTAAAAAATATGAATGATTACCTTAAAATTAAGCATAGAATATGATGGAAATTTCAAGGAGTTAGGAATTGAATTGTTATATATAACTTCTTTTTCAAGTTTTTTCTTAAATCTTTTCCTTTTTACATTCCTCAAGCTTCTTCAAGGTCTCCAATAGAGGATGAAACCTCTAAAATCATCTTCAATGGTGAAGAACTCTCTTCAAGTGGTGTCACTTCAAGGAAGAAGATAAATCACTTCAAATTTCACCACACTCTTAGGAAAAAGGATAAGAGAATTGGAAGCAAATTAAAGAGAGAATTTAAATTTTTGAGAGAGAAATCTTGGCAACCTCAAATATATGCTCCAAAAGTAGTACAAAATGGGTCAAAACTACGATATATAGAGTTTAGTTGGCTTATGATGTAGGCTAAACTAACCATGATTAAGTGTAACCATAGTTAGCTATCTTATACTTAAGCTAATTAACTCTAGTTAAATGTTTACAAGTCTAGTTAGTTGCCTAGAAGCTTATGGAGCAAGCTAAGTTAATCCTAGTTTAAGAATAACATAGGTTAACTTAAGTTAACTCCAACTACCCGACTTAATCATTACAACTACTAGACTAATTACTTTTAACAAGTTTGTTGAAATGTGACTATCAAAGCCATGTGACTTAATTTGTAGCTTGAATGACAAGCTTGGCATGGTTTGGACGTTTAAACCTTTGGGCCATAAAATGATTTGGGCTATCTAAGTCCAAATAAGTTGAACAAGACTTTGCTAGTTACACTTCCCCTAATATACTAATTATACCTTTATGTAATACAAGGACAAAATTACCTACACTACTTGACCCAAAATACAAAGTAAAAAATATCTTAATACAATCACTACTAAAATGAATTATATGTAAAAAATGTATAACAACAATAAGAGTCTTTTAAGGTAGGATAGGCCTCCAAAGGTAGGTACCTTACAAAATAAGGGTAAGTACCCTACAATTCTTCAAACCAACTTTATCAACCTTTACCCTTCTTAGACTTATTTCTTCCAAAGGGATTCTTGGGAAGTAGGTTTCCATCATCCCCTCCCTCTTCAAAAGGATTTGTCCTCAAATCAAGTGGTTCTTCCACATAAACAACATCGCCTACAAGACAAATAAGAGCAAATCATTATAGATGATATATTCATATAATATGTGTGGAAAGTGCACTCTATGAGGAATTCTTTCTATAGTCCTAATAAGGTTCCCTAGGCTGGGAAGGATAGACTCTCTAAGAATAAGGATAGGATCCTCATTATAGTATAGTTTATATGTAAAACTAAATCTTAAAAATGTGAAGGTATTAAACCTATAGCGAACTAAGGAAGTACTTCTACATACTAAGGTATCGTGTTTGAGGTACCCTATGTAGTAACCTGGGTGTCTACAAGAAAACAAACTGAACATAACAAGGAAACTACCTAGACAATACTTGAACATATTATTTGTTAGATACGAAATGGAAGAGGGTGTGGAGAAGAGTCTAGAAAGCTCCTATAATCTAATTTTGTCTTGAAGGAAATTAGTCAAGTTAAGTTTAAAAAATTTGAACTTCCTTTAAGATTAAAAAAAATAAAAATAAGACACCATGAGATATATCTAACAAACAATATAAAATAAAGGTTGGGTGCTTTATTATAACAACTAAAGTAGACAGAGACCTAAAAAGACAATGGTTGTCTACTTTGGGCACCACTAAATTAAAAGCATAAGAAGTAGAACTAGGTGAAGTCCACTTTTTCTTCACTAAACTAAGAACTTGAGATCCTTTCTTTTCAAAAATATTTTGGTTTTGGATCTTAATCTCCAAGCCCATGGCAGTAGTAGGAGAAAGGCTAAAATCTTTGTGAAGAGAAAAAGTCTTTTTGCAATCATTTTTAATAGAAAAATGATTTTTCCTTATCACAAGATTTTTGGAAGAGACATCATCCTCCTTACTCTTCTCTAAGAGTAGTGTCTTCTTTTCTTTTTCTTTTTTCTTTGTCATTTTGAGTAAACTTGTGAAGGTGATAAAGGATTCAACATATGTCTTTTTTCCTAGATGGGTAAGGCATATCATATTGGTGAGTCCATCATGGATGGCTTGCCTATCATATTGCCAAGGCCTCCCAATTAATACATGACTTTCTTTCATGAGAATTATGTCACATAAAACTTCATCTTTGTATTTTCCAATGGCGAAAGAAATGTTTACTTGGTCATTGACTTCTATTGGTCCATCCTCATTAAACCATTGTAATTTGTGATTTTGGATGGGTAATAGAAGTCAAGTGTAACTTTTCAACCAACCTTGCACTAAAATTATTACAAGAACCAATATCCATGATGAGAGAACAAGTATTTTTCAAAATGTTGCATCTTGTATTAAATAAGTTCTCTTTGAGATTGGTGTTGCTCTTGTAGTTGGTATGCAAGCAACAACAAGAAGGTCTCCATCCCAAGGTGGAGCTTCTTCACTATAGAATGAAGAAGATGTAGTACTATGACTACTATAAATGTCAGTGCCCCTTAAAATCATTATTAGTTGGGCATTGCAAGGCTATGTGTCCTCTCCCTAAACATTTAAAGTACTTGATAGAATTTGTTCTAGATTCTATTTAAGATTTATCTCTAGGTTTTTCTTTTTCTTTCTTTTTATTCTTTTCTTGTGACCTTTCTATGTTCGATTGGGAGGAAGACCCTTCCTTCTTGTAATCTTTCCTAGGGTAAGAGGTAGACTCCTTCCTTCTTGTAATATTTCCTAGGGTAAGAGGTAGACTCCTTTCTAAGGTTAGGTTTTCTCCTTAATTGATTTTCTACCCTTACATAAAGTTGAACTCGTTCATTAAAGTCCCTATATGGTAAAAGCTTAACCTTGTCCCTAATATCTATGTTAAGGCTACTTTGAAATCTTGCAATGGTGGTTATTTCTTCTTCCCTACCCATTAGCATAAGAAACTCCATCTTTTGCCTATATTCCTCCACACTTTGATTTCTTTGTTGGAGTCTTTAGAACTTGTCCATTAACTCCTTCTCATAATCAGGAGGAATGTGTTTTCTCCTTAAGGCACTCCTAGGTTCATTCCAATATCTAATGGATGGCTCTCTCATAATTACTTTTCTCTCACTAGGGAAGTCCACCAATGCATGACACTCCCTTGAAAGGCTAGGGTGGCCAGAGGTACTTTTTTTTCTTCACTCACATTGTAGTAAGTGAAAATTTGTTCTACCTTCATCTCCCAATCTAAAAAGTCATCTATACTATCTTTTCCATGGAAGGGAGGAAGGTTTATTTTAGGCTCATTAAAAGTTTATTGTTCATGCCTATGTCTATGTTGCCTAAGAGGCTTTTGGTAATGGTTTTCATCATAGTGGCTACTATAATATGAATCACTTTGGGAGATGTGAGAAGCTATTTGATGATGATCTTCTCCATAATCACTTTTGGGCCTCTCATTATTTTTAGGCGTTTCTACTTCCTTACCCCTTTTGGGCTTAGAAGTCCCCTCACCATCCCTCTTGGGTTTACTAGACACACCATTCCCATGAGAATGACTAGCCATGCGTTTGGCCAACATCTCTCTAAGGGCCTCATTGTTTTTCCTATTTTTTTCTTCTCTCTTTATATTTTCTTCTTCCTTTTTCCTAATATATTTTTTTAATTTTCTAAGTTATTCTTTAGTAGAGCTCTTATCACTATTAGAGTTATAACCATGCACACTATTATGTCTAGAAAGATCACTCATCTTTACTTGAAAAGGTTCTCACAAGATTTGCAAATAATAGACAAGGGAGCCTTCTAAATGAACTTGGAAACGTTCCTAAATGTGTTGAAAATTAAACTAAAATGAATATAGCAATAAAAAAAATCAAGTAAAAACATATACTAGTCGAAGTCCCTAGGGTGAAATTCTAAGTGACACTTAGAGCCCCTAAGAACATTTCCACAAGTACTAAACGATTCTAAAAAGTAAATTGGGCATGTCCTTAGCGGAAGCCTAAGTGAAACTTTAAGTCCCTTAGGACACTTTCACAAGTATTAACGAATATTAAGTTTCACTAATAATACCTAAGAGAGGTGGGAGAACACTAAAGGCTTTCCAATTAAAACACTTCTAAAGGTCAAGTGCAAGCTTAAGGAAACAAATAAATATCAAACAAGTTAATCCACAATGAAACTAATTGAAATACAAATGAAATATAATTCAAAAAATTAGAAATGAATTTAGTGACAGGCTTGGAGACGGATTTAGTGACAGATTAGCTTACAATGGAAAATTTTTGTCTCTAATTTCGTTGCTATTTCCCTTTCTTCAAATTTCCCTCCCTACAAGATAAACATTCAAGTTAGCGTCACCAAAGTGTCTCACTCAAGATTTTAGGTACCTAAATCTCCCAAAAGTTACAGCCCCTTTTAAAATAGTTCTAATATGTCTTAATTATCAACTTCTTTCTAAGTGTGATAACTTGAAAGTGAACCTATCACTACCAAGAGTTAACAACCAACAAAAGAGAGTGGAAGTCAATAAAATCAAGACTAAAAAGCACAATTAGATGAGACTAAACTCAAGTAAGAATATAT